TGGGTGAAATGTAAATACATTCAAGGAAATTCAAATGCAATATTATTTGCTATCACTAACTATGCTAAGGAAGAAGATTTGGCAACCAATTAAGACTAGATTTACCGGTACAGATGGCTCTCCTGTCTCCTCCCTTGCATTGAAATTCCATAAGGTGAGAGACTGTGGTTTCTTCTTGGATCCAACTTTAGGAGATGGGATTCCAGTGGACAACATTGCTACTAACTAGCATTGACCTTCCTTGTTTTAAATGCAATGGATGTAGCCCGGGGGCGTGGCTCAGTGGTTGAGCATCAACCTATGAACCAGGAGGTCACGGTTCCATTCCCTGTTAGGGCATATGTCCAGGTTGCAGGCATGCAGGAGGCAGCCATCAATGATTCTCTCTCATCATTGATGCTTCTAACTCTCTCCCTCTTCCTTCCTCTCTGAAATCAATGATATATTTATACTAATAAAAGAGAAAAATTTTAATTGACCGTACCTTTGCTATGCCCACAGCCAATCAGAGTGAGTATGCAAATTAACCCAACAAAGATGGCGGTTAATTTGCATACTTTGAGGGAGGGAGGAGTGAAGACTGAAGACAACATAGAAGGAAGAGGGAGGGAAAGTGGAAAACAAGGTAGCTGCCAGAGGGAAAGCGTGGGCAGGGTGGGTGGGGCAGGCCTCAGCTGCTGCTTGCAGGAATCTTCCTTCGATGGGCCCCTAATGTGTGTGTGTATGTGTATGTGTGTGTGTGTGTGTGTGTGTGTGTGTGTGTGTATTAAAAAATAAAATAAATGCAGTGGCTGTAAATCCAAATGCTTCAGGAACCAAGCTGGCAATGAAATGCACCACCAAAGGAGGATATAAAATAATACAGAGTAAGGAGAGCTGTGGAAAACTCCAGAATAATGTCCAGTCTAGAGAGAGCAGCAGATATTTAGCTCGGCTACTGCCACCACGAATCTTGGCCTGGTGATGTCAGAGTTCCCAGCTTTTAAAGAGAGGTTAGAATTCTATATTTTACATAATAGTATTATCTGGTATTTAAAGGTTGGCAATTCTATTTTTAAGATCAAGGTGTGGGCCAGATCTGAGGCCTGTGGTCTGCCATTGGTTCCTGTGCGTTGGTAGCTCTGACTTGTGTGGCAGACTGTGTTCAGGAGCCTCAGGGTTTCAGGAATGCTGATGGCTGAAGCGCTGGTTTAGGCTGATCCCAAGAACCTGTGTGGGCAGGGGGATGGTTAGGGCTTTTGTGGAGAGTGGGCTCTGCAGTATTACGTGCTCAGGCCGGTTACAGATTGGTTGTCGACCAGCAGTCATTGTCACAGTTAAAAGGACCTTCAGTCCCCTGCTCTCAACAGAGAAGAACACTGAGACCCGGTGGGTTTCACACCTGTCCACACTGCACCCTTCGCAGCCCACAGCCCTTCTCAGAAGATGACTTATTGGTCACGGAACTGGAAACTCAAAAGCCCCTGGGCCACGTGTTTTTAAAAACTGTTACTGTCTGTTCCTCCAGTATGTCTCAGTGGCTGATCATCGACCCATGCACCAAGAGGTCACCCATTCCATTCCCAGTCCAGGGCACATGCCTGGGTTGCAGGCTCGGTCTACAGCTGGGGGCATGCAGGAGACAGCGGATCAATGATTCTCAACATTGATGTTTCTATCTCTCCCTCTCCTTTCCTTGCTGAAATCAACAAAAATATAGTAAAGAATAAAATTTTTAAAAAATTAAAAATTGTGCTGGGACCTGTTTGGCTCAATGGATAGAGCATTGGCTTATGGACTGAAAGGTCCCGGGTTCGATTCCCATCTATGGCATGTTCCTTGGTTGCGGGCACATCCCCAGTAGGGGGTGTGCAAGAGGCAGCTGATCGATGACCCTCTCTCATTGATGTTTCTAACTCTCTATCCCTCTCTCTTCCTCTCTGTAAAAAATCAATAAAATATATATTTTTTTAAATTAAAAACTGTTACTATTAGGTGAGTGTGGCAAGGGTATTGTTAACTGTGTGAGGATGACAGGTATTAACTGGTGGCCTACATCATCTCTTGGTATCCTTGCTCACAATGACCTCTTTTATATAAATATCTCAAAAACCTGCATCTTCCTTTAACCATGCCTGACCAGTTACTAGTAAAAAAGCTCTAAAACAATTTTTTTTTAGGAACTCCACGGGAGGGAGGGCGGCTTATGCAGTTAATCTCTTTTGTCCACAAGGTATTCTACATTGTTTTAAGTTAAACAACTGTATAAAAAGTTACATATGTAATACATGTCTGTGAAAAATTCAAACAGAAGACAAGAACACAGAATAAAACCTTAAAGTTCCTGTTTGCTCCTAACAAATGGGTATTCCCCCTATTTATTTGTTGTTGTTGTTGTTTTTGTGTGTGTGTGTTTTCTTTTCATTTTTTCCATGTATATGCATATGCACACACATATGCATTTTATTTATTTATGTTTCTAACAGCTCTATTAAGATGTAACTATCCTACAATAAGCACACATATTTAACAAGTATGATTTGATATGTTTGATACTATTTTTTATAATTTGATAAGACATAGGTATACACCCATGAAATGACAACCACAGTCAAGATAATGAACATATCCATCACCTTCAAAAGATTCTTTGTGCCCTTGGGGATTTTTTGTTTGTTTGTTTTATTTTTAAGGCATTTTGCTTTGGGCTTGACTGGGCCTCTATAACTGCGGTCTCCTCAGTCTGGAATGCTCTTTCTCCTGATCTTGCTAAGGAGAGCAGGTCTCCTGCACAAATGTCCCCTTCTCAGTAACCTTGTTACCTAAATGTCATCCCTCTGCACCACCCACTATGCTTTCTCTCTTCAGAGAACTTATCACGCCCTACAAGCACATATTTATTTGACGTCCTATTATCTGTCTCCCCTACTAAAATACAAGTTCCATAACTAAGGGGTTCTGTGTATTTTGAACTGATGTTTCCCCAGGTCTAGACAGTGTCAAGTACATGGAGGATGAGTGACTGCTTCATAGGGCTGCTGGGAGGAGAAACGGTGATTTAATTAGTCATAGTATGAAACTACTGAGCATTGTACAAGTATGGCACAGAGTGAGTACTTGTGCTAGGTTGAATAGTGTTCCCCCCAAACTCATGTCCACCCAGAACCTGGCCTTATTTGGAAATAAAATTTTTGCAAATGTGATCCCATTAAGATGAGATCATACTGGATTAGAGTGGACCCTAACCAATGACTGATGTCCTTATAAGAAGAGGGAGATTTGGACAGAGTCACACAGTGAGGCCATGTGACAACAAAGGAAGAGATTGAGTGATGCTGCCATTAGCCAAGGACCCTGATACACACCAGCCTTATAAGAAAGGTAAGAAGTGAGGATTCTTGTTTTATCACAGGAGGAAACTGAGCCAACAGTCACTGGGGGCTAGATGTGCCTGCTCCTCCAAGGAGATAAAAACGTGTTGTCTGAATATTACAATTCTGTGGCCTTCTGCTGCATGTACCGTGTTTTGCTTTGCCACCGTTTCCTAATTGGGAGAAAGGAAAATTGAAGATCAAATGTGGGAGACACATTATTCAAGTGTCTTCATGGGAGAACATGTTGTTGTTTTGTTGACACAGATAAAGGTCAGGTCTTGACCTACTACAACTCCAGCAATTAAAACTAAATCACAGGGTTTGGCTTCAGTGGCTGTAATTGACAGCAACCATGTGGAAGGAGCCTTCTGCTTCCATGACTGGGCATCTGTGTGTAGCACAGCTGGATCGTGAGGGCTGCTCCGTGCTTCTTCCGTAAAATAAATGGAAATGGCATCTCCTAAGAGTTTCATTGCTCTCTCCGCCACCTTGATCTTGCTCTCCAAACAGTTTTGGGCAGGAGAGCGGAAACTAAGTCATGAGGGAGACCAAATCCTTGAAAGCTACAGCCCTGAGACTTCCTCGACTAAAAGCAGACTGAATAAACAAGGTAGTGACAGGCGCTTATTGATAGTCATTTGTGTAACCAAATGCTTAGCAGGCTTTGGACAGGCTGCCGAGAAAGGCTCACCTTCTACTGCAAACAGTAGACTGAGGATTGAATTGCACTTTTGTTGCTGGCAGATCGGCTGGGCCAATTTGACTGCTGCCTCTCACTCCTTGTGAGAAAGCAAAGGCCCTTACAGGGGAATCTCAGCCCCCTGGAAATAGATTCAGGAGGGAGGAGAGAAAAACCAATCCCCCCAGGTCATTTCCTTAGCTGTTCCACAGAGGTCCACTGAGCAGGCACTGCGCAGACTGTCAAATACATGGGTGTGCGGTGAGATGTCAGTGCTGCCGCCCAGTCCTAAGCACCTAGTTTTCTTTGGGTCTAAAGGTCCCCAAAGGTCTTGTTCCCAGGTCCCCCGAATCATTGTGCAAATAGAGGCGGGGGAGGAGGGAGAGGAGGGACAAGCGACACCTTTTCAAAGCAGGCAGCCCAGAAGGAACCTCGTTTTCTACCTACAAGTTTCCCCAGTTGTCAAACCACAGGGCAGGGGCAGGGGCAGGGGCAGGGGCAGGGGCAGGGGCAGGGGCAGGGGCAGGGGCAGGGGCAGGGGCAGGGGCAGGGCAGGGCAGGATGACTGCCGTGGAGGATGACTCAGGCCCACTCTGAACCTGTCTCCTCGGCTCTTGAGCAAGGTCGGGAAGCTCGGGCCTGTGGCGAGATGTCGCAGCACGTAGTGTAGGGAATCAACTCGGGGACTTTCCCAGGAGGAACTGGTCAAAGGCAAGAGTAGGGGGCTGGGTGCTGGGGGCGGGAGGGGAAATCCTACCCCACCTTGGGCTCCAGAGGGAAAGGAGGGTCACCCTTGGGACCAGCCGCACGCGGCAGGATGAACTCCCCAGGTGGCACCGCCCCTTTCGGTGGCACCTCTGAGCCGGCCGGGAGTGGGCGGGGGCGCGGCCGTGGGAAGAGGGCAGGTTTAGGCACCTGCGCTGCTCCGCCCAGTCCGATCCGCAGACTCCGGGGAGCGCCCGGGCCGGCGGGGAGGAGAGGCGGGCGGACGTGCCCGGCGCAGGGTGGAGGCGTCCACCTGGGCTTTTCCGAGCGCAGGGAGGGCGCTAGGACCGAGCGGCGCACCTGTTGGCAGGTGCCGGGCCTCGCCTGCTCCCCGCCCCGGAGCAGCCGGGCGGCCGGTGCACGAGCGGGAGGTGCTGGCAGAGGCAGGGCGGCCGGTGCACGGGCGGGAGGTGCTGGCAGAGGCCGTACCGCGGCGGCGGCGCCGGGCGCACCATGGCCGAGCTGCTGCGGAGCCTGCAGGACTCCCAGCTCGTCGCCCGCTTCCAGCGCCGCTGCGGGCTCTTCCCGGCGCCCGAGGACGACCCCCGAGATGACGGCGCGGGCCTGGCGGAGGGCGCCGCGAGAGCGCCGGGGGCCGATCATCGCTCCACGGCCAACGGCAAGGACGCCGGGGCGCCGGCCAATGGGCTGCTCAGAGCCGCGGCCCCGCAGGTAACCGCGGGCCAGGTGCACGCGGGTGTGGGAGGGAAGGAGGGAGGCAGGGAGGCAGGGAGGGAGGGGGCAGCTGCTCCGTGGCCCGCGGACCCGCCAGTGGTCCAGGCGACTCCGCGGCGGGGACTGGCGGGAGCCGAGCCTGCGGGGCGGAGAGGGCGCTGTCGTCGCAGCGACCCGGCTCCCGGCGCGGCGTGTGGCCGGGAGGGCGAAGGGGGAGTCCACCTGCCTGGAGGCGGCCAGGCCATTCATCCATCAGATGCTCCCAGAGCTTGGCATGCTGTCTATTTAGAGACTTAAAGTTGGATGTGTGTGCATGTGTATTCTCCCAATCCCGAAAATTACATAATTGAAAAGCGGAGAGATGTCCTTGGCATTTTCCCGAGAGGCTTCGCTGGAAGAGATTCTTAGAACTCCCCAGGATTCAGGAGTTTCCGCCCCCCCACCTTCCCTGATCTGCTCTAAGGGGGTGCACTGGCGGGCTCCATGTGTCCTTCACCTTCCCGCACGGCCCCGCTGAGGACAGAGTTCGGGTTGAAAGGATCCTGGAGAAATTGACAGCGCTCGCCGGCCGGAGAGGCGGCGGGACCGACGCCGCTTCCCCCCCCCCCCCCCCCCCCCCCCCCCCCGCCGCCCGGAGCCCTGGGCCCCCTGCCGGGTCCGTCCTGTATTAACCGGCACCGGTGCCCTTTGACAGATGCTGCAGGAGGGAAGCTCACCACCCTCCCCTGTAGGTGTTCCCACTGTGGTTACACAACCCACTGCGTCTTGTCGCAGTGCACAGGGACTCGGGCGGGAGGGACCAGACAGGCTGCAGACGCCGACGTGCCGGCCGCTGAGTGCCAGGGCCGCGCTGGCCCGGGAGAGAGGGCAGCCCGCTGCAGGGAGACAGATGCTCTGGACACCCGCAGATGCTGTCCTTCCCGCGGGGGAGGGGGAAAGTGCGGCCCAGAGGACGGAAGCCTTGTATTAACAATCCCAACTCCCCTTTGGGGGGTCGAGGGGGAGGAGGCACATTTTTTCCTTCCTCGAAGTTTTGTGTCTTCTCTAGTAACTGGGGGTTTATGAAGAACCTGGCTTCTGTGTGGAGTGGAGTGTTGTGGGCGTTGAATTACAGAATTCGAGATGGTGTGCTAGGGGAGGGGCGGGGTGTGTTCCACTCTAGACAAATCCTCCTCTATAATATTGTTTTCTCCTTTTATTTTTCTTCTCTGCCCCACATGACATCCAGTAACTTTTAGATGAGTTTAGGACACACACACACACACACACACCATCCTCTTGCTTCTTCTTAAAAAAAATGGGGCTGCTCTGCCGAAACCGGTTTGGCTCAGTGGATAGAGCGTTTGCCTGAGGACTGAAAGGTCCCAGGTTGGATTCTGGTCAAGGGCATGTACCTTGGTTGCGGGCACATCCCCAGTGGGCGTTGTGCAGGAGTTAGCTAATCAGTGTTTCTTTCTTATGGATGTTCCTATCTCTCTCTCTCTTCCTCCCTGTAAAAAAATCAAATGATATATATATATATATATATATATATATATATATATATATATATATATATATATATATATGGCTGCCCTAGCTGGTTTGGCTCAGTGGATAGGGCATCCGCCTATGGACTGAAGCATCCTGGGTTGATTCCAATCAAGGGCACATGCCCCAGTTACAGTTGCCAGGCTAGATCCCCAGTGGAGGGCGTGCAAGAGGCAGCGGACCAATGATTCTCATCATTGATGTTTCTAACTTTCCCTCTCCCTTTCTTTCTGAAATCAGTAACAACATATATATATTTTTAATGGGTCAGAGTGAGGGGATAAGGACCGTTCACATTCCTGAAATGTGGTAGGACATTTTCTGTGCGCCCACTGTTTACACCCTCAGATAGATGCCCCAGCCAGGAAGCTGAAAAAGAGTGCATTCCTCACTAGTGTTTCTCAAACAGTTTTAAACATCACCCTTGTGATGTGTTCTGGAAAAGGAGATCAGCAGATTTATTGCAGGGAGTAGTGTCTTCTTGTGGCTTGAAGAGCCGGGTCAGTCAGTGAACCAAATGCAAGGAGATTCTCACTTCCCACCCAACACATAACTCACTCACTATAGAGCAGGAACAGGTAAGAGTGGACTAAGAATTCATAATAAGAGATCACTGTAGTGATGTGTGGTGGGGGAAAACACATGTGAAAGTATTTGATGAATGAGATGTTCACGAATATTTTTAAAGGTGGGTTGGTTTCAAGTGACTTGGGAACATTAATTTGCAAACATAGGTGGAGTTCCCAGAATAAACTGATTGCATAACTGCCTCAGAGATTGAGAGGAGTGCATGGGACAGTTGAAAGAAACTTGTCTCCAACAGTTTCCTTCTCCTTGGCCTCTGGCCTGCGGCTGCCTGAACTGCCTGTCCTTTCCCTAAATAACCCCCTCTCATCCTTCAGTTTCAATGGTCAGTTCCTCAAGAGACATCTTTGATCACCTTCCAGTCTCACTTCACTTTAAAAAAAATTAAATAGCCAAACCAGTGGATAGAGCATCAGTGGACAGAGCATCAGCCTGCAGACTGAAGGGTCCCGGGTTCGATTCCTGTCAAGGGCATGTACCTTGGTTGCGGGCACATCCCCAGTGTGGGGTGTGTAAGAGGCAGCTGATCGATGTGTCTCTCTCTCTCTCATCAATGTTTCTAACTCTCTATCTCTCTCTCTTCCTCTCTGTAAAAATCAATAAAATATATTTTAAAAATTAAATATGTTTTTACTGATTTTAGAGAGGAAGGGAGAGGGGGAGATAGAAATATCAATGATGAGAAAGAATCATTAATCCTCTGCATGCCCCCTGCCAGCAACACGGACATGTGTCCGTGACCAGAATCGAACCCCTTTCAGTCTGCAGGCTGGGCTTGCACAAAGCTGTCACGGAGTAAGTCAGACTAGTCTTCAAATGTGTCCCAGTAGTCATGAATTTCACAAAGTTCAGAGTCCTGAAGGGTGAAGTGCTTTCTTTGTTGAGGACTTGCCAAATACCCACACAGCTGGATCTTTTGACTCTCAAGTTTAAACTTCTTCCATTGTGTATCTTCACTTACTCTGTCTCATGGAGAAAGTGTGTAGTGCTGGGGCTTGGTTGGGAGCAGAGTGGAGATTGGGTAGAAAGGAACTTGCTTTTGGTGTGCAAGGGTAATTGGTCTCCAAGGGTAACTATTGGAGGACATTCTTGGCAGCAGCCAAGAGCAAGAGACAGGGATCCTGGGACTGAGCAAGGAGGACAAAGGCCCAATCAGAATTGTGTTTATTTGTTATGGGGCAGAGCCAGCCTTGGTTATAATGGTATTTTGATTTTTATCATCTTTGCTTACTCAACACAGTTGCATTAAGTTAGACTTTGCAGTGCCTTTCCCCAGCATTACATTAAACTAGAGATAATCTTTCCAATCTACACTGTGCTCAATAAATACTCTTTGATAACTATTTGCTGAGATACACTGAGTGGCCAGATTATTATGATCTCTGAATGCATAATAATCTGGCCACTCAGTATATGTATGTTAGAGGCCCAGTGCATGAATTTGTGCATGGGTGGGGTCCGGCTAGCCTGGCCAGGGGGAGGGGACATGGGTGGTTGGCTGGCCTGCTTGCTGGTCAAACTCCTGGTCAAGGGGACAATTTGAATATTAGCCTTTTATTATATAAGATATACACTGATTGGCCAGATTATTATGCATTCAGAGATCATAATAATCTAGTGTATAGTTCTAAAGTTGGATTGGAGAGGGGATAAGAACAGGTTGTTTTTAGAAGTTTTTGCTCTCCTTTTTCCCTCGGAAACATTTGGGGCCCTCTAAATCTCTCAGTCCACAAAACCCCACCTTGGACTTCATTGGCTTGCTAATGTGCAAAGAAGCATTGCAGAAATGCCAAGACCAAGGCCAGATCTGGTTCTGCCTCAGTGTCAAGTTGAACTCCTGTGGGCCCCAGTTATCCCATATGCAAAATGAGCAGAGTGCAATAGATGCATGGATTTACAACTGTAGCTATAAATTATAGTCAGAGGAGCTTTAATTACAATGTCCAGGATCCAGGTCAGAAGTGGGGCCCAGAAAAATTGCCACACAGATGGGAACTCTGAATTCTCTTGTCCCTTAGTATGTTCAAGACGAAGATAGTGATGGCCAGAGACAGCTGCTATGACAGCTATGACATTTTGACTTGATCATAACTCAAATGCATAAATCAAAAGCTTGGTCGAACTTCAAGTTTTGATTATCTGTAGATGGATGTTGAGGTTTGAAATGGCAAAATAAACCACTTTGAAAAAGTATATTTGATTTTTTTTCTAGTAACAGATATTGTTCAGACTATAAAATATGGAAAAATACCAAGAGAATGTTAGATCCATGCCCATTGTACTACTACTAGAAAAAATCACTTAGTGAATATTAAACCTGATCTTTAATGACTACATGTTATCCATAGCATGGGTATACAAAAATTTAGTTGGCCAATTGCTGTAACTGTGTGATCATTTCATAATATGCACTAACACTGTATCATTGTGTTATACACCTGAAATTAATGTCAATTATATCTTAATTTAAAGACAATCAAGATATGTAAAAAGGTAGTTGAACAACGTTGTTATTATTTCATTAATTTTTAGAGAGAGAGGAAGGGAGAGGGATAGAGAGATAGAAACATCAAAGAGAGAGAAACATCATCAGCTGGCTGCCTCCTACATGCCCCTTCCTGGGAATCGAGCCAGCAACCCGGACTGTGTGTGCCCTGACTAGGAATTGAACCATGATGTCTTGGTTCCTGGATTGACATTCAACCACTGAGCCCCTCAGGGTCCTCCCCAGTGTTTTTGCACATGGCAATAACTTTTTGTGGCTAAGTCATAGTCTATTGTATGCATGTGGAGGTGCACATTTCCTTTATAATAGGGGCACATCTATCAATAGACACACGTTGCTTCCATATCTTGGCTATTGTAAACAATGCTGCATGTTA